ACGTAACGGCTGGAATGTAAAACAGCATTTTATTTTTATTTTTCAATGGAAGGAACCATATGTTTCAAGTTAAATCCTTACATTATTGCAGTTAGGGTTTATTTTTTTTATCTCATGAGCTAGCATTAAAAACCATTGATGATATCTAAAAAAGAAAAAAACATTACCAGTTTATCCCATGAAGTAATACAGTGTTAAAAATACTATTATTTTGATATTCTCATCTGAGAGATGGCATTCCTTTAAACATTTTTAATTTTGGAGGAGAGAGAGAGGGGAAATTATCGGCTTTCGGTAATCAAATTTAAATTGCGATATTAAAACTAAGTTATGATTTATTTTTATAAATATAACCATATTTCAATTCATCGATTTTCACATTTTCAATCTTATTTTTAACTTCTAGATTTCTTTGTAAACTGGAAGAGTAAGAAATCCAATTGCTAAAAAGAAAGCCTTTCTATGGGGGAGAGGGGGAGAGAGCTTTCCTGCTGAAGCCCCCTCCAAAAAAATGGTAAAATATAACCATGTTTTATGAAAAAACTTTTCTTAAAAACTATTATTGTTCATCTAATTACATTTAATAGGACTTCAACAATCACTTAAAGACCATTTCATATAGGTTGTTAGTTTCTTTCTTTCGAAGTCATTATCCTGATATATTTTTGAAAAAAAATCTTTCAGGCTGAAGCCTCCTCCCCCCAAAATTAATTTAAGCTCCGCGTTTGATTTTAGTGCACCGCGCTCAACCCCCGTTGTAGTTATAGAACTGCCTGTGGACCACAGCAGAACCCCTCTCAAAACGGCGAGCTGCAATGTGCCTTCAGGAACGAATGGACCCAGAGTTTTGGAAATATTACAAAATCCCCACTCAACGGCTCAAGACACAAAAATCATACTGAAGCTGATGGCACTATTTGAAGAAAGAGGGCTTGACTGCAAAGAAAGGGAACCATTTATACATCCACAGTTACAAATTCGCAATCACGCATGCAATGCAGAACTGCAACTCCTTCATAAGGTGGATAAGAAAGAAACACCTGAATACGAGCTAAAAGCATTAGCACTAAAAACTCAAGATTGGCTCCATATCTATACCGATGAATCAGCTGAATCAGCCATTAAAAATTCTGGATCAGAGGATTACTCGAGTGAATTCCAAATCAGCGCTGCGGGGGCTAAAGATGGAACAAATTTCGATGGTGAGAAAGCAGCGATTGTCATAGCCTTAAGAACATTGTCTAGAATATGGGACCAGAACGCTGTTCTTTTCATCGACTCTCAAGCAGCCATCCTCGCTGATACAAACACGAATGAATGTCTATCCAGTGCTATATTTGAGTGCAAATACCTCCTCTGTAATCTGTCACTCCTAGGCACCAATGTGGTCCTAAAGTGGACTCCCAGCCATTGAGGAATTCCGGGAAATGTTGAGACTGATAGTCTTGCCAAGCGAGGAACAGATTTGCCTCAGCCGATACATTCAAAACCTTGCGATTAAATACAGCGAATGGTAAAGGTGGTAATGAAGGAAGAAATTAGAAAAGCACACTTGGACAAGGTGGAAGGGAAAAGTTATGAGTGTTTGATAGATAATCAACACTACCGAGAAGAGATGCAGTAGGCTGCTTCCGTCTGACCACTGGTCATGACTATCTGCAGAGTAATCTCCACAAGATATGCGTGGATGAGGATCCTAGTTGTAAATTTTGTCATCAAGAAAGAATGGATGCAGACCATCTTGACATATGCCTTGCCTTGACAGATATAAGAGAAAAGACATTTTTAAATATATATATTGAAAAATCTAAATTATACTGAGCAGCAAGATGTCGGATGGCCGGATGACCAATGATTTTGGCATAAGAAAAAAAATAAATTTCATACCCTTGAATCCAAACTAACTCTCAAGGGAATGTTGGTGGCAAACTATAGGTAGATAAACACAATGGTGAACATTTGTATAGGTGATTTCTGTAATAAAATGTTGTAGGATAAAGATATTAAGATAACTATTAGATAAAGATAGATATGGGAACTATGGGATAGATAAAGGGAGGGTTGAGAAATTGTACCAAACCTTCCCTTTTTTTATTACCCAGTTTCATGCCTCCTTTCCTATAATAGAAAATTTAAAAGAATGATCAACCCCCTCTCAAAAAAAGTTTAAATTATGGTATAATTAAGTAATGACACTTAATAAAAAAATAAAAACAATATATAATAACATAATTTCTCACAAGAAAAAAAAAAAAAAAAACTGGTCAACTAGTGCTGTCTGGTAGTTTAAAACAGATACCAATATTTTCAGTAAAATCAAACAGTTTGGGCTTGGTTTAATAGTTAAAAAGTTAAAAACTGATATAAAAGAATAATCTACTTTTATATTTTTTTTAATTTGACCTTATTTGTAATAATTCATTGTAAGTTATAGAAGGGAATGTATTTTATAAAATTAATTAATATATAAATGTTTGGCACTCAAAAAAATCCATAAAATGAGTTTTCAAATCATTAAATTAATTTTAAAATTAAATGTATCAACAACAGAACAACATTTTTTCTGCCTAATAAGTTATTTATCAGCTTTTCAGGTTCACCAATACTATTTTTCTAAGTAGCAGATGTATGTCATAATAAAAACAAATAATTACTTCATTATAATGTTATTAGTGGCATGAAATATTAAAATTACATTTAAGTTCTACATTATTTTAAAAAAGCTTATTAATAATAAATAATTAAACTTTAACTATCAAATAATTTATTCTTTAGCAGACAGTAAATCTACAATAATTTACAAATTGTATTTAATTATTGTATCTACAATAATTGTAGGTGATTTAGAGATAATTTCAAAAATGTCATTTTTTATATCGATGAAATGCTTTACCTAATAAATTTGCATTATAATATATGTTTATCACTCGAGATAAGAAATCTTCAAATTATCATCAGGAAAAATAATAAAATTTATTCAGTTAACTTATTTGGTTCTGCTATGTGCCTATGCGAGTGTTATCACTTTCACTTTCATAACAAATCTCTCTGCCAACAATCGGATATGGCTGTTCTCAATTCAACGAGGATACTTTGATCATGCTCCTTTAATTTAAAGGATAATGTCAAAATCTTTAAATTTTTTAAGTCAGACTTGGCCAGAATCGTGGCGAAACCTAAATTTCCTCCTCGAATTAAATTATTTTCCAAATAAGACTGTAATATCCTTTATAATAAAAACTATATGGATTATGATCTGTTCGAAATTTGATTGAGGGATGATTAACTGCATGGTATGTAATTTATGACATTACATGCCTGCCTGAGTCATGAGTAAGTTTTCATCAATTTATAAATTCATGGTGTACTTAACCCGTATGATTGTCAAAACTGCTTCAAGATATTTAGTATTCTATGTGTTGCATTTTCAAAACCAAACATATTTTCCTGCTACAGCAACTCTAAACAGCTTGTGTTAAATGTATCCTAATAATGATTCGTGGAATCTGAAAAGAATATGACTCTACAACCTTGTTACATTGATTTATTAAATCATAAAAGAGTTAGCAAATGGATATTTTATACACGAATTGTTCCCTCATCATACTTAATATGTCCACTATATTATAAATTAAAATAGAAAAATCAATTTTATTATGAGATTATGCCCCAATATTGACATTGACAATATTGATATAATATAAAGAATATTATATCATTATATTTATTGCTGTATTTTTATAAAACAAAATCATAAGTTTTCATTTATAAAAATAAAACTCGCTTGAAGGTGAGGAATAAACACTATTACTGTCAATGGATATTGAAAAGTAAAACTGTCACTGAAAACATCAAGAATTGATGATTCTGTTTAGTAAGTGTGAAGTAAGTTTTACATTGCATTACTAAATGTAAGAAGAGTGAATGAGAAAATATGAACTACAAATGGATCTTACTTAAAATTGGGCTGTATAGTGGAAAATTGTTTCATACTAGATTACTGTTGAAAATGTCAAGTCTTTCAAGTATAACAAAGTATACCATGGTTCATTAGTTGAAGAAAGATACAAAACAGATCCAGTCCTATGGCTTAGACAATGAAAATATAATTAAATAATATTTCATAATGCATTTTATACAATGGTGTCACTAAGGAGGACTGTACTGATGCTAGTGTTTTTCCCGATGCCTCTTCTTCTAGAAAAAATAACCAATTTTATCATTATTTCTTAGGCACAATTCCACCTTGCAACATTCTTCAAAATCACTCTTAAACATACTAATTAGAGCTTAATTATGGTTACAGTAAATAACCACTATTTATTGGTCAAATGATAATTTGTATTTTTTATTTTGGGGAAATGTTTGTTCACTGCATCCCTCACAGCTTCTGTGTCCAAATACAACACAGATTTCATTGGCTTATTTACCCAGGCTTGGCTTATATACAGTTTGTCGGCTACATTTAGCTTTGCCGTTAGAGTTTCTTAACCCTACACCAGTCTGTAAGTCCTGGCACTAGTTTGAGTCCGTGCTTATTATATTTCATTTTCTCTAGAAAAAAATATTAGTTACCTTAGTTGGAATGTAAACTGTGCCTTGTTATATAGTCCGCACCATGTCAAAGTACTGAATGTGAAATGCTGGGCAGGTTAACATTCATTACTTTAACATGGTATTGACGATATGTTTCCTAGGCCAACATTAAAAAAAAAACTGACATGGTTATTAGGTGAGGCGATTGGAGTAAGCAATACCACCATCACCATACATACCACTCAGTGAAAATTGTGATGCAGTTTCAATATTTATTTTTATATCACAAAAGTTTCCACTCGAATTTTATAGGAAAATCATTAACCCAAAGAGTTTTTAAACTTAAATTCCTTTTTTAAATTTCATTGAAATAAATACATTTTAATAAATCTACAGACTGATTTGGTGCATATTATCATTATTCAACAAAGGTCACTACGTCTCGTTTGTAAATTTTTTTGACTATGGTTTCTGCATGGTAAAAAAACAATCATGGACTAAATGAATTTGTCCATCACATTAAAACCAACTAATACATTGAATGTTTTCCCAGAGGAATAAATATATATCCGAGTGAAGAAATCAACTGTTAATGTGAATATGAAATTGTGAAATTTTTTCTTTTATTGTATTTCAGTTGCTTATTAAGCTGCAATTTATTGTTATTTAAACTTCTATATATTGCATCCTTATTTTTTTTTTGTGATTACAATCATACATCTTAGGTGTTTGAGATAAACTTTTTTTTTTTTTTAAATTGGCTTTTTTCTATTTGCTCAATATGCTCCGTTCATTGTATTTTTATTATTGTAAAAACAATGGAATAATAAATATTTTAAAATTTTGTTGATAGTTTATCTTATTTGTAATTAAAATTTACAGTAAACTTAACTTGTCTTCCATTATTTCATTTTACTTATTAATAAGATTTACAACATAAATAAGGAATATCAAATTAAAGATATAATTCAAATAATCAATGAACAGTATCCTGTTTATTTAATCTGCTGTATATTCCTAAATTATGACATATAATAAAAAAAAAAATACATTGTATTATCATCAAACTCAAAATTTGGATTAAAAAAATAATTACAAATTTCAGATTTATAAGTCCGAAGGATAAAATTGGTACTTTAGGCAAATGAAATATAATTTAAAAGTTTTAATTGTTTTAAATAATTTTTAAGGCACCTAATTTTGTCTTGTTACAGTGCTTTTAAAATTTATTTATTGCTGGGATAGGTGCATAAATATATTTAGTAAGTTTCTCAGAGTTTTTTGTTCTGAAGATAGGAAGAAGCTGCCAAAACGTGAATAAAATAAATATTTATCAATTGTTAATTAAGAAATAAAATAAAATGATGGAAGGCTAGTTTGTCACCATCTTCATTAATAAATAAAATAATTTCATCACTAGGATGTCTGATATTGATTGAATTTTACTGCTTTAAAATATTTTGATAAAGTTTATTGAATTATTCAAATGGTGTTGGATATGAAACACTATGATATTATAGTTTTCTCATATTTAATCATTGACATGAAAAAACTTGGATAATTTTTTTGTTAATCATGATAGTTTTGGAATTAGTTTGGTAATCTTAGTCCTGTTTATGGTGTGAGTATTATTCTTTTATATATTCCAATTCATCATGATATTATTTGTTCATTGATTGGACAGTCTTTTAACACATTGATTATGCTTTATATTAGGCACAGTCCCTCAGATTCGAAATTGTTTTATGTATATAGCAAAGATTCAATTTTTTTTTTTATATTTTTCATTTTTCAGTAATTAGGTCTTAACTAGTATTCTCCAGGGAGCGTTCTCACCATGGATAAATATGCTTCTCCTTAATTCATTTGACTATAAGCGACCCAGCAAAACATGTTTATTTGTCTGTGCATATTATCAATAGTGCATATTCATCACACACAGTAGTTGAACCTTTATACATTACCATGATTGCTGAAGTTACAATTTACTCAACAAGTGATTAGCTTATCCCAATAGTTAAGCAGCAACACTCAGCTATCCCTGAATTCATATTAATCCATATTGTACTCCCTCAGGATCTATTTGTTCAGTTCAGGAGAGCTTCGGTTTTCAGTTGCTTCACTAAATAAGAGTATAGAGCTCTATTACTGAGGGTATAAAAGCTATATCTTGATATTTACTTAATTATTAAAAATATCAAACAATTGCTATTTTTATATTATCTAAAGTGCCCAATGGAACATACAATTACTCTCTCTCATTTATATTTTCAATAGATAGCTATATTTAAAAACCTGAACAAATATTAACCCATGGCACTGGGCTAAAGCTCCCCTCCTCCCCAAAATTGTAAAATATAACCATATTTTATGGAAAAAAATATTTAAAAATTATCTCTTAAAGTATTATTGTTCATGTAATTACATTTAAAAGGACTTTAGGAATCGTTTAAACACCATTTCTCATAGGTAGTTAGTTACTTTCTTCTTTTCCAAAGTAATTATACTTATTTTTCTCATTTAAGCTTTCGGGCTGAAGCCCCTCTCTCCCAAAATGAAATCCTGGATCCGCTAGTAACCCATGGTATCTTTTTGTTTTCATCCCTTACTCGCCTTTCACTAATACGGTTTTTTTTCTGGTCAAGAGAGACTGGCATCGTTAAAAGTCCTCCCGGCACTGGCTTTTGAACTCTTTATCTTAATCGATTGCAATAAGAGGCTTTTAGCAATAATAAGGATTTTACCTCGTAAATGAAATCAACCCTCAAGAAATTCCTTTTTGATCAATACCTCATCTATCAAAATCCATCACTCCTAAGACCTAGAAAAATGATTTATAATACTGTATTATCATGGGTGCCCAGAAGGGGGTTTCAAGGCCCAAGTTGCGCCGTTAAAATTTTTGTGGGAACACATTTTTACTGAGTTTTGAATTTTTGAGGGGGGCACATTTCAGTCAGGGCACAGGGGAAAAACATTGACCAGACCAAGTGTATTAGTATATGGTGTAGTAAAAAAGTAGAGACGTTTAGCACTCTCCTTGATAACGATGGGATATAGAAACACAGGCATAGGCCGTGGGTAACACGGTCGACCTAACCAATTTTTTGGTGGGCGGGTTGGCCGAATGGGCTAACACGTATGCACTGCACCGCGAGATGCCCGGTAACCAGATAAGAGATATGATAGATTAAAAAGTATGAGTTTGCGTCCCATTGCCAGAGGAGATTTTAAATTCCTCCCCCTCACCCACCGGTCCGGGAAAATCCCGTATAGCTTAAAGGCGAGGTAGGAAAGAACAGGAAAAAATCGAATTCTATTTTCGCTTGGACTGTTTTTAAAAGGAGAGGAATAACAAAATTTCTTGGAATGGAGGGAAGATTTCATGCTCCATCGACCTTGGGAAGATAGGCATCTTTGCATATAGTGTAGATTGTAGGTTCAACCTGAGATTGCATGTGCAAAGGGAAGCAGGTTGGTCCAGCGGGCTGACGTATGTGCACAACACCATCGCGTTGCCCTGCAATCTGATAACCGAAGTTATGTGGAATAAAATAAGTACGAGTCCCCAGTGCCAGTAGGGTTTTTAAATCCTGCATTAGTCCCCTGCTCTCACTCCCTGACCCGGGAAAACTCCGTTTAGCCTAAAAGACAAAGAAGGAGAGAACGGAAAAAAAAATATGCAAAGGGAAGCAGTTAAATCTGAAACGTTTCATGGCAATCATTGTATGACTTCTTCATTGGAACTAATGACTTTTGGCTCTTGCCACATGTTGCTATAGCTATGAGATACCATCTAATTTTTTGTCTGTGGAGGCACGCTCTTTCATAGTGTCCATTGAAAAGGTGAACTCAGACAATTGTCAGTGAACCTGCCGTCGGTAGGAGGCCGAATAGAGAAGAGCCTCCTGGAAGGAGGGATTCCGCCCCCTCGGGGTAGGGGGCCGAGCGGTGGGGGCAGGTCATTGCCAAGAGAAAGGCAGTCCTATGGTGCTGTTCTCGATGTGCACCTGTTCCTGCGGGATATTCGCCGGCAGCCGCCCTCCCCAGCCGCAGGTATCTACACTACCTCACTGCTAACTGCTAACTGTATCTGCTATTGTATCTTCTGCATCGCTTCCTGGTGTCGGCGGGGGACCTCTGTCCGTCCTCCGGTGGCTTCCGCGTTTACCCTCTAGTCTCCTAGCTGATAACAGTTATCAATGACGCACCGCCGGGATAACCTCCCCTATCTCTGGATACGATCATCTTTAGTTCCATCTTTCCTATCTTCCATCGATCCAATAATGATCATTTCAGTCATCAAATATAGTCCGATTTCAAAAATCGTTGTGATGAAAATTATAGTTTAATCTTTTAGACAATTATTATTTGTAAAAGACAGGAGTACAATTAATAAAATGCGATCTCATCGGGGATAAGATCCAACTCAAAATCATTTTCGCACAAGTGACAAGTATTTTCTTTGTGTTTTTAAATTTATTTTTATATTAGCTTGACCGAGCGGATAACTCGCTCAGCATATTGATTAGTAAACAAATAACAAAACAATATAGAAATAATTCAATGCAATGTATTATAAAATAGAGGAATTAATTTTCTTTCGCTCGGTCGATTACATTATTTCATTCATAATAATAAACTAAAACATATGTAAAAATTATTACAGGCTGTATCTTTGCTAATAATAGTCTGATTTCGATGATTTTATTATTGTGTTTTTTTAGAATATTTTTGTTAGTTAATCAGGGTATAATCCACCATAAATTGCATATTTTTCGAGTTGTGGGCAAATAAAATTTCTTTTTCTGCTTAACTTTTTCTCGAAAATTAAGGGGTGATGTGGACTATTTAAAGCAGAAGTTTTTCGAAATGATAGATCAATCATCGGATTGGAGGAAGTTTAAAGAAGGTCTGGTGTACTGGTGGAAAAAAAAAAAAGAAATAATGTATAAATATATTTTAATTTTTATGCGAATAGGAATCCATGGCAACCAATCAAGATTCACTACTGTTACTGAGTAAAAATGTTGGGCACATGTCTTATCTCAGAGACTGTACACTGTAGGATTTCGTGTAGGGCCCAGTATAGTTCTTCAGAATTTTTTCAATGAATTTTATTTTAATTTGAGTAAGGTTCTAAGTTTTGAAATTATGATTAGTAAGTTAAGTTTTCTTTAATTTGATACCTCATTCATCAAAATACATCTCTCCTGAGAGCCGGATAAGAGATCTATACTATGTGAACCACTAACGGTTCCAGGATTTTTTTTTTTTGGGGGGGGAGGCTTCAACACGAAAGCTTTATATATATATATATATATATATATATATATATATATATATATATATATATATATATATATATATAACGATAATTACTCTCGAATAAAAAAAAAGAAACTATATGAAATGGTGTACAAGTGATTCTTGAAGTGCTAACTTTTAGAGATATTTTTTCATAAGACTTGGTTATGTTTTACCAGTTTTGAAGGGCTTCAGCCCGAAAGCCTTCCATAGATCTGCCTATGGTTTAAAAACATCTTTCAAAAATTATTTGTATATAGGGTATTCCCTAAGTGAAGGGAAAATTTAAAGATGGGAAAATAGATCTTAGGAGGTACAAAAATGTTCATATTAACCATGGTCCGATTTTCTGTAGAAAATCAAGAAATTTAAGTTGATTTTTTGTGAACGAGTAGAATTTTTTTTTACGAAAAGTAGAATTTTTCATTAAAACTATCTTAAGGGGCTTTTAAGCGGGTATACTACGCTAAATTCTGTTTTTATAAAATCATGCATTATTTGCGATTTTTTTTAATTATCATCCAATAGAACTAAGGATACCCCACTTTTAGAAAAACTTAATAGTTTAATAAGCATTTAATGGATATTAATTATGTTGAAGTTTGTTACAGAATAAGTTTAAATTCACTTTTAGTTGTGCAAAAAAATTACTTGTGTAAAATTGGTCTCGAGTTGTGTTAAAAAAAATTATGCGAATTTATTTCTTGTCACCCAAAACTACCTGTGTTTTCAACAAAATTCACGACAGTAATTTATTACAAAGCTTTTATTTATTTATTTGATGGGGTGTTTAATATTAAACCAATTGCAAACATTCAATTTTTATTTGTGATCTAAATTGATAATGTGCCAATGTTTTTTTTACTCAGATGTCTATTGAGGGAGTGATGCTTATTGTTTCACACGACCAACTAATTTTTTCTAATCCTAAAATTTACATTTTAGTCAAAATAATTCAAGTAATAGTGATTTATTTTCCAAAAAATGTTAATTTATAATAATGTTATAATAATAAATGTTATAATAATAATATAAAACGGTATTGATGTCGTCTAAGTCTTGTGGCAAGCAGATTATCATGTTTTTGATTACTGCATTTTCAGAAGAAAAAAAATATCTAATTTCTTGTAATTATTGTTGCTTAATCAGAAAAAAATGTATATAGGATTTATACATTATATTATTTTGATTTTTTTTTTAACAATGATCCGTTCAGAATAGATTTCGTTGGTTATAATTATATATTGATCTGGGAAGGTTTCGTTTAAGTACAATAAAAGGTTAAAATAAATAAAAAATTTATGATTATTAATTTTACATAAATTATGAAGCAGTAAAATTTGTTATAAGTATTATAAAAAATAAACAGTTTTGGCATAAAAATAATAGTTGAGGGCAAGTTTATTATTACTAGTTTTATAATAAATTTAAATAATAAGATAGAAATTAAAATTTCAAAAGTTACAATTGAACCTTACGTTTGTTTATAATATTTCTTTCAGTATGAATACTTTTTTCGTTCTCAAGGAAAACTCACAAATCTTCTCCAGCTGCCGAGGAATCGAGCCATAAAATCCATGACATTTTTAATTATACACATTACATGCCTAATGTATTTCGATTTCTTGTTATTGAACGTTCGTTCCGTAATGGCGGTATGGCCAAAATCGATTAAAGGATGGAAAAACCTCATTAGTGTTGGTGATCTCTCCTTTTTTTCTATAACTTAATAGCACACTGGAGTTGTTGCATCAGAAAAGTAATGTCCAGACATCAGTGTCAATCAATCCCAATATACTAAGAATTATTTTCGATTTATCGAATAGTGAACATGATTATCGATTTTAAACTATTCTTTGATTTTTCGATTAGCCAATCCTTTCCTTTATTATATTTATACCACTTCAAATTATATTTTCCTATTATTCATTAAGAGGTTTTATGCACTAACGGATGCAGAATTTAATTTGTGTAGGGGAAGAGGTTTAGCCCGAAATATATATTTTTTATGTATAAATAAGGATAATTACTTCGAAGTAAAAAAAAGAAATCAACTACCTAATTAATTAAATTTCATTTTAATACTTTTTCAAAAATATTCGTATTCGATTGACATTGGTACTGACAATAGTTGGGTGACTTATTTTTCTTTACCATTTCAATTTCATGAAGTCTGGTTTTTATATTTATGTTTTGTTTTAATGAAAATTACTCTTACGATATTCACCATTGAATTTACCTGTTAAGGCCATCGAAATTTGAGAGGGAAAACTATACCGTAAATCACTAACGGATTCAGGATTTAATTTTAGGGGCTTTAGCCCGTAATATATTTTTTTTTATGATTATTTTTATAATTACTTCGGAAGAAAGAAAGAAAATAATTATCTGTATGAAATGATGTATAAGTGATTCTTTAAGTCCTATTAAATGTAATTAGACGAACAATAATACATTCAGAAATAATTTTTTTTATAAAACAATGTTATATTTTACTATTTTGGGGGGGGGGGAGGAGGATTCAGCCCAAAATCCCCCCTCTCTGTAGATCTGCCTGTGCCGGGAATCATCGATAGTTAGTCTTGACTGTTGTCAAAACAACCGCAGAACCTTACTTCAAGTGACAGCACTAATAGTCGAAGTATTTCGTTGTCAGCTTTTAATCGCTAAGTCTATTTCAATGATGGGCGTTATTAATTAATAAGAGTTTATAAACAAATAGAAAATTTTATTTTGATGATTCGAATGATAATAACATTAGATTTATAACCATTAGATTTATAAGATTTATAATAAACGATTTATAAGTTTGTAGTCAGTTTAGTTTTGAAAATTCTCACATAAAATATTGGTTAAAAGAATTTGTAAAACGATTAATATTTTATATTTATAGTGGACGAAATTAAGTATGAGTATTAATAAGGTCCTTTAGACTGAATTAATTTTTTTCATTAATTTAGTTTTTTTTTGTACATTTTAACTGCAACATTACTTTTTATCTAATTTTATTTTAATAAATCGATGTGCCATAGTATGGGACAAATACTTTATACTGACTATTTTATTTTCAGTCTTTTTATTTATTTATTTAGTTTGCTTTGGGAATTATTAGTTAGTCATATTTGATCAGTTATAATATAACAAGTGTCAACAAATAATTATGTTATTTCTTTTTATGTAATCTTACATAATTTTTTTAATAGTTTTGCATTGCTGAAAATAGTATTAAGAATTATCTTTCTGATCATGATAATAAAGATGATTATATATAAAATAATAATAATACTCATAATAATAAATGATTTACATTTTTATTATTTGTATTTATTGATCCAAAATCACTTTGGTCATAAGCATCAACTGTAGAACATCCATGTTGTGTACTGACATTAAAACCTCATTTTTATAAAATATTCCTCGGAATTCATTTATATCAACTGTGAGAATTTTCACTTCGTTATCTATACTGTGAATCACAGTTATCAAACTTGTTCTCATGTACTTGATTCTCATGATGTGGCACATTCTAAAGAGATTAATCTCAATAAAAAGATTCTCCTTATAATTATTTAATTGCAATTACAGTTATAATTATTTGTTTTGATTACTTCTCGGACGATTTGAGGTGAATGGTCAATAAAGTATTACCGTTTAGTTTTCATATTCAGGACTTTCCTCATTCCAACAGAGTACTTCCGTTGTCTTCGAACCTATTCCGGTGATACTTTTAAACAATATTTAAACAAATAACGCATATTTTATATTTTAGACAAAATGTCTAAATCTTATACATTACAAAATATCGTTATCCGTTATGGAGCTATAACTGAATAAATCAAAATTAATAGAACTGGAGTTTTGTTTAATTTTA